TATAGTAAATATAAATTTTATATAAAATTGCAATGTTTAGAATTTTATGAATTTTATATAATTTTTACTATAATATATAGTAAAATAAATATTATATAAATTAATAAAAGTAAATACTTAGTAATAATACATTTGATCATGTATAATTAATAAAAAAATATTGTTATTTTTATTTATTTTTTATTATAATACATTTTTATATTTATTTACATTAAAAATGTATTATATTTATATTTATGTATTATAAGTTGCTGAATGCATTACACTAATATCCATACTTATAACATTACAACTGCTGTTTACTGTACACTTTAGATATCTATGTTTAGAACGACTTAGTGAAAGAAGTTTGTGTTTTGTCAGCAGAATTCACTTGTGCAAGAAGAGAAAAAAAGATGGAAAGGTGAATAGCCAAAACCTGCTAGCTTGCAGTAAATTTAGCAGTGGCATCTTTATTTTCTGCAGTGCCATGGAACTGTAACGTCAGGGAATTGCTGATAAAGTTGAGCGGAAATAGCCTGACTCAGTGCAAATCCACTCAACGGTACAAAACGGCACTTTAATGAGGCAGACCTTATGAGTGTTAAAGGACATAACCTTATATATGTCGTCTGTGTGTGTGTGCGGGGCGTTTGTCGCATTTTTCATTCTTGTTTCATGCCATGTCAAGCTGGCAATGAGGCTCGTGCAGAATGATGAAGACAGTATGTAAATACTTCAGCACAGACGAACAACCCAATCTTTATTACTCATACACAGATACTCGCCGTCTTCACAAACAGTAGATTTACTAATCTAGACTGCTAGTTAAATAGAAGATGAAGACTAGTACTAAGACTAGTTTGTGAGTTTGTCTAAGGACATCTGCTGCCCTCTTGAGCCCACATTACAATAGCGCTTCGTTTGTTACAAGCTGTCACAAGGACTCACATTCTCGCAAAGGGATGACGAGGCCTGATGGGAGAACCATTCATGAAGAACACATTGGTCCTGAGGGCAAAAATTTAACATCTGTCATTAGACGCTCTCCCTCCCTTCCACTCTCTCCCCTTTTTAAAAATCTTCTCACAGGAGTTAAAAAAAAAACCTGAAGCATTTTGCATGTGTTTACACTGGGAGTTCCTTTCATATTGCTGTAAAGTGAATGCTTCATTAGCTTAATTCTCCAGAAGCTGAGAACAGGGAATCCCCCAGTGTAGAAGATGCTTTTGCTCACCGACTGTGATGTAAGTGGAGAAGGTTTAGGCTAAAATAATAGCATGATAATTGCTTCTCACTTTCTTGCAGGGCTGAAATGGTTCTCGGCAGTATCATCAAGAAGAAAGGATGGAGGTAAACATATTGATTTGCTGTTTTTCAGGGTTCAGAACATTCTCAGACTCTTATTTAATGTGATTTGCTATTTTTGCGTGCTGTTTTCTCCTCCTCAGACTGTCAGAATAACTGCTGGCTTCGTCTTTGGAAAGGCGCTTGCTTGTACCATGCAGCTCCTGTTAGTTTGTGAATGACTAATGTGGAATTTGCACTTAAGGGGACATTAGCTTTTATTCACCCTACTATTCACTGTATGCAAGCACTGAGGCGAAAACCACTTCCCCCCAGGGAAAGATGTCTAATTTTGGACCCAAGTTTTTGCCCTTTTTAGAAACATGGCATGACTGCAGTATTCAAAAAATCTTCTCTTGCGAGAGGTGAATATTTTTAGCATGAATTTTCTTCAAAAGCCACTTTTTTTAACATAAAAGATATTTAAAATTCTAGAATAAAATAAGGATGTTATTTTAGGGTTAACATTATAAGACATTTTTATTATTTTAATGAATATTTTTTGAATATATATATATACATACATACAGGGTATCTGCAAGATCTTTAAGCTCAAATTTAAGACTTTTTAAGACCTTTTTTAAGACCTGCACAAATAAAAGTCGCTGGGGTATATTTGTATAACCATACTTGGCCACATGTCACTTCACTTCACTTCACTTAGTTTTTGATCAGCAATATGCATTGCTAAGAACTTCGTTTGGACAACTTTAAAAGCGATTTTCTCAGTATTTTAATTTTTTTGCACCCTCAGATTCCAGATATTCAAATAGCTGTATCTCGGCCAAATATTGTCCTATCCTAACAAACCATACATCAATGGAAAGCTTATTTATTCAGCTTTCAGATGATGTATAAATCTAAATTTCGAGAAATTGACCCTTATGACTGGTTTTGTGGTCCATGGTCACATATGAGCAGGGTAGGGCAATGTCAATGGTAACATATTAAACTGTAAAATGACTATAAGAAGCATGAATTACAGTTCAGATACAGGTTTTCACAAAAAAAAGTTTTATAAAACAATAAACTTCACATTTCAGCCTTTAAACCATTTTTAAGAAAATGGATGAGTCAAAAGTATCAATTATTATGTTTATTTAAACTATTATTATCAATCAGTTATTATATTAATTAAATAACATAAATATATTTTACTGTCGTAATTGTTTACATTTTTATAATGCATTATCTTCTTGTCGATCCACCAGTTCACATTCACATTTAAAACATGGGTTAATTTTCACATCGAGCAAAACAGCAGAAGGCCTTATTGAAAATGCAAATTCATTTTCAGTCAGCAAGTGGCGCTTTCGGAACTGCCGAAATATAGCGGTTTCCCCGGTAACGGCAGTACATAGAGCAGCGCAGCACCTGACTTTGAAACGTGCAGTGTCATGTTTATTCAATAAAATCATAACTTTTTGAAATTTAATCGTCACGTTAAGCCATATCACAATTCTCGTCTTTCCATCCCCCAAATTTAAGACCTCTGGAAATCATAATTAAATTAATGACTTTTAAGGTACCATTTAAAACTTTTTATGGCCTTAAATTTGATACAACTAAATTTAAAGGGGTCATATGATGCGATTTCAATTTTTCCTTTCTCTTTGAAGTGTTACAAGCTCTTGGTGCATAAAGAAGATCTGTAAAGTTGCAAAGACTAAAGTCTCAAATCCAAAGAGATATTCTTTATAAAAGTTAAGAGTCAGCCACACCTACCTAAAACCGCTCGTTCTAACACGCCCCCACATTTCTACGTCACGATGTGGGAAGATTTGCATAACTCTGCCCAAATGTTCACGCAAAGAAAGAAGGCGTAACTTTTATTCTCGCTGTAGTATTGCTGTTGCCGCCGCCATGTCGCGAAACTACTTTGTTTGGCTTTCCAAAAATGGACACGAAATCAGTGAATTAATCAGTGAAGAAATCAGTGGTTATGTTTTATTTACAACACTGTTCCAGAACACTTCAACCCAAATATTCAGATGTGTGCAGCACATTTTATGGAGGATTGTTTGTCATTATAATCATAATTATGTCCCCACTGGATGCAATGAATGCCTCGTTTATAATGGGTTTTCATGTTTTTGAATCATCGCTCCGGCCTGACAGGGCATCATCACAATATGGTAGGGGGTGTAACATTTCCGTCACATGCTTGAGGTATCTGGCCAATCATAACGCACTGGATAGCTGGCCAATCACAGCACACCTTGCTTTTCAGACCGACGAGCTTTGTAAAAATCGATGCATTTCAGAAAGGCGGGGCATAGAGGAGAAACAATAATGTACAGTATGTGGAAAATAATGTGTTTTTTGAACCTTAAACCGCATAAACACATTTCATTACACCAAATACACAAAATAATGTTCTTTTTAGCAACATCATATGACCCCTTTAAGACTTTTTAAGGACCCGCGGAAACCCTGTATATATTCTATTTTAGTATATTTTAAAATCCTAATTTTATTCTTGTGATGGCAAAGCTGAATTTTCAATATAATAATATAATATAATATAATATGCATATTTTAGAATTAATTTAGTTAAAAAAAATTAAAAACCCTGGTTATTATGTTCAAATACAGTGGTTCCTGGACTTTTCATTACCTGGAATACAGTGTAACTACAGTGTCATTTCCTGAAGCCTAAATTTACACAGTTGTTTACCCATCAATCATCATCATGATGTCTGGCCCATCCTTGCCTTTGTTTCGCTTTCAACCACTTTGTCTCCTGTCTTTCATAGACGTTCCAGTTTGGTCATCACCACCAAGATATACTGGGGTGGAAAGTAAGTGCTGTGCCTATGTGTGTGTGTGTGTACCTGGTATTTATCACGTTATGGGGACCACAAGGATAGTAATACTAGTAAATTTTGACCTTGTGGGTAAATTTTTGAGGTCCCCATGAGGAAACAAGCTTATAAATCATACAGAATGAGTTTTTTTGAGAAAGTAAAAATGCACAAAGTTTCCTGTGAGGGGTAGGTTTAGGGGTAGGGTTGGTGTAGGGCAATAGCACATACAGTTTGTACAGTATAAAAACCATTACGCCTATGGAATGTCCCCATAAAACATGGAAACACAACATGTGTGTGTGTGTGTGTGTG